AGATGATCTGAGACCCGTGGGACACCGGAACTAGAGCGTGAGACGAAATAAAACAATGACGGGGATATCATTTCCGGATTGAATTCCATTGTTGGAATTGTCTCGGCGGAGGGGTAAGAGTGCACGATACGAATGCACGATACGATGCTTCAAATTCCAGAGATACTTATTTTTCTTTTTTCTTGGGTTTACCTTCGTGCTCGAGACAGGGGGAGTAATCTCGATCCCCCTGGTCTCCGATAAAGATTCAATACCCAGAATGTAAACACCAGCGTCCCAGGTATTCTGTACTCGTATCCTCTCTGTTCTCCCCCCCAGGGTACAAGTATTTTTTTTTTAGTCTGGTTCTTTGAGATTAAACATGAATTCCCCGGCCCTCCACCTTCCCGCCCCTTTATCCGGGACTTCTGATGTTCTGCTACACTTGAGATGAAAAAATCTGGTCCAAGTGGCAACATGGCTACCTTCCCCAAAAACTAGTCTGCCGAGAGGTTGACGATCCCTGCTCCGGAATTCGACTCGTTTCATATTTACGCGAGCGACCGAGGGGGGACCAACCGCCCATCCAAAATCATCAAAAAGGTACTGAGAGACAATCTCGTATTTGCCATCTCACCTGTTACCTGATGGTTACCGAAAATCGCAAGTATTTGCTGAAAAATTCATTGTTTTTTAATTCAACTGAGAGATCTTGGAAATTTACGTAACTGGATTTTTCGAGTTGGGTAATCACTGATTTTTACATTTTTATGTGATCTCAATATTTCGTGATCGTGTACTAGGTTGAGAGTAATTATATATTTTTTTGTGAATTGGTTTAAAAGCTATATAATTTTTACTGAAACGAAAATTTTTCCACGAAATTTTATCACGAAATTCCTTCAAAATTTCCGTTGCACTCCCAAAAAAACGGCTCGACCTACCGACCGCCCCCATTTCGCTCCTACAAATTATTACCCGCCGTAAAGCCCAAAGATAATAAATTAATAATATATTCCACTGAATTCGAAAATACCATCGATAAAGAACGAGAAAATGAAGCGTGCGTGTAAAATAGAAAATTTGATTTCCACTTAACGAAATAAAAGAGAAGGTCTCGTTGTTTTGTAATGCCCAGGGTAGAGTGGAGGAATAAAAAAAAATAACAGTGGGTGGTTGAACATGGAAAGTGGAAGATTGACGCAGTGAGATCTATGAATGGACCAACCTACGCGTGTGCCACCCATCGCCCAATAAAAATCGCTCCATCCTCCTTCCCCCCGTGTAATTTTTCTGAGAATAATATAACGCTTTTACAACGTGGTTATTACCCATGGCACGTGGGTGTTAAAACCGTTCGCTCCAAGCGAAACACTATTCCATACCCAATATGGGTACAACCTTAATAGTAATAACCATCAAAGCAATTTGTGCCCC